TGATCACTATTCTGACTGACCTTTTCTTTTCCTTTTTTCTGAGATGGTGGTGATTCCTGAACCAGTTTTAACTTAGTGACATGACCTCCATTTTTTAGCCTTTCTTTTGCATAGAAACCAAGTTGTTTTTCTACCTACACAGTCAGACCTATTTCACTCTCCCCTCCATAGATGTTGGCATCTGAATGGTAGAGTTTCAGAAGTGTAGGGGCCCTTCTTTTGTAGAGTCCATGGTGCCCTGTGTGCACATCCCCAGCCTTCTCTCCCAGACTCAGATCAAGATCCTGATTTGCTTAGCTAAGGTCCGTTGGTAACAGGAGAAGCTAATTACATTGTTTCTACTTCCATTTTTACAGGCAGACAGAGAAGCTGGTATAGGGAGAGAGAATTTCTAGCCAATGAAAAATTCTCCTAAGTGAAAAGCAGTTGTCTTGTGTTTTCTTAATTTGCCCAACTTCCCTTAAAGTTAAGCCCTTGTCATGATAGCTTTCACCACAGTAACTTTTTCTTTATGCATTAGTTCACCTTACCTCCCTGCTTAGCCAGGAGTTGAGAAGACCACAGCATCACTTGTGCAGGGAGCACCTTGCTCTTTCACATGTAAAAAGTAGAAGAGAATGAAGGAGCCCAGCCCCAGTTTGAATTAGCCAATTTGAACCCCCATGCTGTTTTCCTCCTCATGTTAAGTAGGTCCTGATTCTACTGTTTCACTCTTTAAAAAAAAAAACAAAAACAAAAAAACAACTTTTTTAAAAAAATTTCTTTTAATATTTATTTTTGAGAGAGACAGAGTAAAAGTGGGGGAGGCACAGAAAGAAAAAGAGAGAGACACACAGAATCTGAAACAGGCTCCAGGCTCTGAGCTGTCAGCACAGAGCCTGACGTGGGGCTCAAACTCATGAGCCGTGAGATCATGACCTGAGCTGAAGTCTGACACTTAACTGACTGAGCCACCCAGACACTGCCAAAAAAACAGACTTTTTTACTTCGATGATAGAAGAACTTGGCATAGGAAAGAATGGGTACTCTCCTGGAAACCTAATGCCTGTCCTCTTTCTGGACCTTTTTGAAAGTTTTTCAATTTGAAATTTAAAAATTATTATTGGGGTGCCTGGCTAGCTCAGGTTGGTGGAGCTTATGACTTTTTTTTTTTTTTTTTTTTTTTTTTTAATTTAAATCCAAGCTAGTTAGCATATACTGCAACAATGATTTCAGGACTAGATTCCTTAATGCTCCTTACCCAATTAGCCCATCCCCCCTCCCACAACCCTTCCCATAACCCTCTGTTCTCCATAAGAGTCTCTTATGTTTTGTCCCCCTCCCTGATTTTATATTATCTTTGCTTCCCTTATGTTCATCTGTTTTGTATCTTAAAGTCCTCATATGAGTTAAGTCATGTGATATTTGTCTTTCTCTAATTTCACTTAGCATAATACCCTCCAGTTCCATCCACGTAGTTGCAAATGGCAAGATTTCATTCTTTTTGATTGCCAAGTAATACTCCGTTGTGTGTGTGTGTGTGTGTGTGTGTGTGTGTGTGTGTGTGTGTGTATACCACATCTTCTTTATCCATTCATCCATTGATGGACATTTGGGCTCTTTCCATACTTTGGCTATTGTTGATAGAGCTGCTATAAACATTGGGTGTATGTGTCCCTTCGAAACAGCATGCCTGTATCCCTTGGATAAATACCTACTAGTGCAATTGCTAGGTTATAGGGTAGTTCTATTTTTAATTTTTTGAGGAACCTCCATACTGTTTTCCAGAGTGGCTGCATCAGTTTGCGTTCCCACCAGCAGTGCAAAAGAGATCCTCTTTCTCCACATCCTCGCCAACATCTGTTGTTGCCTGAGTTGTTAATGTTAGCCATTCTGACAGGTGTGAGGTGGTATCTCATTGTGGTTTTGATTTGTGTTTCCCTGATGATGAGTGATGTTGAGCATTTTTTCATGTGTCAGTTGGCCATCTGGATGTCTTCTTTGGAGAAGTGTCTCTCCATGTCTTTTGCCCATGTCTTCACTGGATTATTTGTTTTTTGGGCGTTGAGTTTGATAAGTTCTTTATAGATTTTGGATACTAATCCTTTACCTGATATGTCGTTTGCAACTATCTTTTCCCATTCTGTCGGTCGCCTTTTAGTTTTGCTGATTGTTTCCTTCACTGTTTGGAAGCTTTTTATTTTGTTGAGGTCCCAATAGTTCATTTTTGCTTTTGTTTCCCTTGCCTCTGGAGACGTGTTGAATAAGAAGTTGCTGCGGCCAAGGTCAGAGAGGTTTTTGCCTGCTTTCTCCTGTCTTACATTTAGGTCTTTCATCCATTTTGAGTTTCTTTTTGTGTACGGTGTAAGAAAGTGGTCCAGGTTCATTTTTCTACATGTTGCTGTCCAGTTTTCCCAATAAGCGTTTGCTGAAGAGACTGTCTTTATTCCATTGGATATTCTTTCCTGCTTTGTCAAAGATTAGTTGGCCATACGTTTGTGGGTCTATTTCTGGGTTCTCTATTCTGTTCCATTGATCTGTGTGTCTGTTTTTATGCCAGTACCATATTGTCTTGGTGATTACAGCTTTGTAATACAGCTTGAAGTCTGAGCTTATGACTCTTGATCTCGGGGTTGTGAATTCAGACCCCATGTTGGGTCTACATAGAGATTACTTAAAAAAATAAAATATTTAAAATATTTTTTTAGTTATTATTTTCCTTTCATCCCACCTTTTTATTATTTTTTTATTTTTTTTTTAATTTTAACATTATTATTTTTTTAATGTTTATTTATTTTTGAGACAGAGAGAGACAGAGCATGAACGAGGGAGGGTCAGAGAGAGAGGGAGACACAGAATCCGAAGCAGGATCCAGGCTCTGAGCTGTCAGCATGGAGCCCGACATGGGGCTCGAACTCATGGACTGTGAGATCATGACCTGAGCCGAAGTCGGTCGCTTAACCGACTGAGCCACCCAGGAGCCCCAACGTTATTTAGTATTGAGAGACAGAGCATCAGCAGGGGAGGGGCAGAGAGAGGAAGACACAGAATCTGAAGCAGGCTCCAGGCTCTGAGCTATCAGCACAGAGCCTGACGTGGGGCTTGAACTCACCAACTGCGAGACCATGACCTGACCCGAAGTCAGACGCCTAACCAACGGAGCCACCCGGGGTCCCCTCCCACCTTTTTATTTTTTATAATAAAGTCAATCCTAGCCCCTGCTGCCTCTTGCAGGTTTAGATTATAATAGTTGCTTCAAACACTATCATGTATTTATCACATTTCCCCTCTTTTCATGATGGAGTATCATATTCCATCTTTGAAGAAAGTCCAGGTATTCACAAATGAAGCCATTGTTTTCTAGAGATGGTCAAGGCTTCCATCTGCTAACCTGTGTGAAAACTGTAAGGCAGAGTTTGTGCAGACATTTGGCCTCCATGCCTGATGCTTAAACATATTGAAAACCAGTCCGTGAATTTGAACACTTGAGTTTGTTAATCATTCTGGGAAATGGAATTCATATTTCTTTCTTACGTTATAACCCATAGGTGAAAAACTTTTTCACAACTTTAGGTCATGTGATAAACTCTGTTTTTAGTAAGAGATCTGTTCAGAAAAACAAACTTACTAATTAGAAATTAGGGAAATCTCCTATGGGAAATGTTCATCCTTCAGAAAACAGGTTCTTTAGTCCAATCTTTTAAAATAGAAATGTTTGGGGACCCTGGGTGGCTCAGTCGGTTAAGCATCTGACTCGATTTCAGCTCAGGTCACAATCTCACAGTTCTGGAGTTCAAGCCCCTTATCGGGCTTTGCACTGGTGGTGCTGAGCCTGCTTGGGATTCTCTCTCTCTCTCTCTCTCTCTCTCTCTCTCTCTCTCTCAGGATTCTGTCTGTCTGCCCCTCCCCTGCTTGTGCTTTCTAAATAAATAAAATTTAAAAAAAATAATAAAGTAAAATATAAATGTTTAAAAACTTTTCATATTACCATTGAGTAGAGAGCTGATGCATCTGTAACATATGTCTGAGCAAAAGCTATTGGTTTTCTAAAATTATCTTCTTCTAGGGGCACCTGGGTGGCTCAGTCGGTTAAGTGTCCTGGGCTCAAGTCATGATCTCACAGCTCGTGGGTTCAAGACCTGTGTCAGGCTCTGAGCTTCAGCACAGAGCCTGGAGCCTGCTTCAGATTCTGTGTCTCCCTCTCTGCCCCTTCTCCCCCATTCGTACTCGTTCTCTCGCTCTCTCTCCCAAAAATAAACAAACATTAAAAAAAAATTTTTTTTGGGGGGGGCGCCTGGGTGGCTCAGTCGGTTAAGCGGCCGACTTCGCTCAGGTCATGATCTCACGGTCTATGAGTTCGAGCCCCGCGTCGGGCTCTGTGCTGACCGCTCAGAGCCTGGAGCCTGTTTCAGATTCTGTGTCTCCCTCTCTCTCTGCCCCTCCCCCGTTCATGCTCTGTCTCTCTCTGTCTCAAAAATAAATAAATGTTAAAAAAAAATTAAAAAAATTTTTTTTTAGAAAATTACCTTCTTTTAATAAAGGCTGCAAGAAAATGAACCAAAGTGTTGACTATGATTGTACTTGAATGATGAGGTTGTGGGTAATTTCCTTCCTATTCCTACATATTTTCTTTACTGTATATTGTTTTAAAATGGCAAAAAAGTTAAACAACTATCCCCCCTAAAATTTCTCTGTATTTAGCACTTGCCTTACAAAAATCAAAGTAAAATGTCTAAAGTACAGAGTGGCAACCTGTGGTCCAAGGCCAGCACCTATTTTTGTAAATGAAGTTTTACTGGAACACCTTTTTGCGTATATATTGTTTGCAGTTGCTTTCAAGCTCTTAGCAGATCATATGGCCATAAAGACTAACAGATTTATTATCTAATCCTTTAAGGAAAAGTTTGCTGACCCTATGGTCTAGAGTGCTGAATTGACGAAGGAATTGTGAGAAGAGTATTTTTAAAATAAGAAATTTTTTAAAACGTTGGTAATAACACCACATTTTCCTTTCTTTGTAGCCTAAATTAACAATGGCAAAATGCAGGCGGAATGTGGAGAATTTCCTAGAAGCTTGCAGAAAAATTGGTGTACCTCAGGTAATAAGTTTAACATTTTTTATATTGCCTAAATGACGCTGCCATCTCCCCATCTCAGACTTCAGTATTATTTTTCTAAAATTTTTCAGAAGTGTAAGTATCTAAAATCTTAGAGGACTAGCTCTGACCCACATTGATGACTACTAACATGACTTTGTGTTACTAGAGTCAGTCAGTATACTTCTTAGCAATTTTCCTTAATTATTTCCAAGGACTGAGCAAAAAAATAATACACATATAAATTTAAATTTATTGTAATAAGTAATTCATGCTAAATAATCAAAATCGTTACTCTGTTTTCCTAAACGTTCCTACTTGCTGTTGGACTTGTATACATCTTCATCCACAAGAGTCTCTGCTTCACAGTGAATGCATCTCAGACTGAGAATGCTCCAGTTGGTTTCAGGTTTTTGAACACTTGCTTTAATACTTTCTAAAAATGTTTATTTTGAAATAATTTTAGACTTAGAAAAACGTTACAAAAAAGCACAGAGAGTTACTGTGTGTACTTTACGTGTACCGTTAACATCTATATAAACATAGTGTGTCATCCAAACTAACAAACACAGGGACAGTGCTGTTAGCTAAATGACAGACTTGATTCAGTTTTCACTGGTTTTTCCACTAAGTTCTAATACTTTGGAATGTAGCACACAGAGGCTATTTCTAGGGATTTGTCCTGCTCTTGAGATTTATTGTCTCCAGGTTCCTCAGTTACAGTTTCCTTGCCCTTTAATAAATAGTACAAATAGTTAAGCTCTGTAGATGGAATTAATTAAGAGACATGAACTTCATACATTTGTTATTGTTACGCTTTTAAAACAATTGTGTTAAACCAACTAAGCATGGTACTCTTAAAAACTACTATATTTAATGACATGAGACATAGATACATTTAAAGAAATAACAACTTGGTACTATTAGATTTTTTTTTTCATTAACCATAATCCTTATAGTTCCTGTCATCATATCTGGTATCCAACCTTCAAGAAGAAAAACATGACTTTTTTCTATCACTTTCTTAATAAGCTGTCAGAACCCCAGGATTAGCCCCTGACTCAACTCCAGAGTTTCTCTTGAACTTAAGCCCTTTGTCCTAACAGCTTTCATCACAGTGACTCTCTCTTTACCCGGCCCCCATTCCTCTCTCTTAGTTACCTTGAGTTGAGGCGGTCACAGCACCACTTGTCCAGTGGGCGGCCTTCTCCCTCAGCTCTTGTACGTGTTGCAGAGTGGAAGAGAAAGAGTCCAGCGCCGTAGAGCATTAGCTGGAGTCAGTTCCCATGATTGTTTTTCCCCTTTGATTAAGTAGATTGTAATTCTACTAGTTATTTTTCACTGTTTTCTTTTGTGGCTTTTTTTTTTTTCAAACCCGAGTTACAAAAAGAACCTAAGTTTACATTTTTGGTAGTTAGCAAGAACCTGTTTTTGTTCCTGTGGACAAATGAAAGCAGATTTTTCATTTTTATATCATATTGTTTTCTAGACTTATCTCTTTTAGAACAAACCATTTTTAAACATAGTAAGAGAGCATCAATAAGGTTTCTAAGCAAATAGTGTGCATTTTCTCCATATTAATAAGCAGGTCCTAATATTCTAATACTAGTGTGTATACACACAGTAACGGTCAGTGCTTTCTTCTGTCTGTTGAAGATGTTCCTACCTAATCATCACATTACACAAGCAGGCCCAGGACCTGCCCCAATGCCATAGCACATGTCTTAGAACAAAAGAATGTGGTGTGGGTTAGTGCAGGGAATGGGAACCCGAGAGAGGATAAGAGTAACTGAAAAGAGGCACCGCATACCCAGAGAGAAGAGCACTGGAAACATCCCCAAACAGCAAGACAGGTTCGAGACTTGGCCTATATCAGACCTATTAAAAGTGCTGTTTAGCACTTTTACAATCATTGTACCTGTCCTCTGGGCTTTAGAGAACCACCCTGTGTCTCAGATTTCAAGTCATACGCTCAGATTCTTTCAGAATGTACCTGCCAACAGTCAGCAAAATATAGTCTGCCTTAAAGTGTACATTTAATTCAGCATTTGCCAACCAAGGGGTAACAGTATTTATTGTGGGCCAGCCTGCCCCTGTTCCTGCTGTGCTGTTTGAAGGCAGGAGACAGAAAAAATACAAATTTAAAAGACTAGGTATTTTTCCAGGGTGGTTAGACTGAGGTTCTTGACACATCCTTCCTCCCTCTCAGTCTCCCCACCCGAAAGAGGAAGTGGACAATCCCGGAGGCCACCTCTTCCTCTCTGCTCCTGCCTTCCACCCCAGTGTCGACCACCATCACTACCACCACTACCACTCTGAGATGGGTTCCTGTTACGATGCTGCTTCTGTTAAAAAAAAATTAGTCATTTGCTTAAAACAGAGTGAAGGAAAATGAATAAATACAGAAACTCATAGGTTCAAACTAACCTCAGGTCCCTCTGCCCCAGGAGGAAAGAAGAAACCTGTACCTCTTCCTCTTCCTTTGTCCTCCCCTATGTCTGGGCATTCTGATCTTTACCTAAATACCCCCACTTCTGTTTGACTTGTAATGTCACTTTTGAAAATGTATAACATAAAACTTAATATTGCAAATATTTGTCAGATTTTATGTCCAGAGAATATGTATAAAGGTGAACAATTTCCCTTCTCAATATAACTTTTGAAGTGTTGATGAGTTGTGAATGAAACTCTAAAGAATAAGGTGACTCTTGAAAACCTCTGATAAGGCTGGGCATGTGGGTATTCTCTTTATTATTATACTTTTATTAAGCATGTTACATTCAGAAAACTATAATGGGTGATAAAAATGTCTATTTGAGTCCAGTATCTTATGTCCTAGAATTACTATATGTTATGTGTTAAAGAATATTTTCCTGTTCTCCAGTCCAATTGTGTTTTTATTTACTTAATTTCTTCACCTATGAGCTGGAGGGGCTTTCTCTGAACACTTACCTCTCCTCAGCCCACGTGCAGGTTTGGTCCTGCTTTCTGGCCCATTCTTTTTTTGTTAATAGGGAAAAATGAGTCTGGATAGAGGTTGCCTGGCATAGACCTCACTCACCATTTGTAGGCCTCACATCACCCAGTTCTGTTCAGTTTCCTGAGTGTTCATACTGGTCACCAACAAGCCAGTTTTATTCTGCTGTTTAGTAGTGAAAGCAAGCTCAGCACAAAGAGGGGTGTTTGTGGTTTTGTTTTTTAGCATTTTATTTTCATTCTTCAAAATAAAAAATATTACTAGGATGTGTTTCTGTGAGTATGACTGAGATGATCATATTGAATTCTATACTGAAATCTGTATTTCTGAACCACTGACTTTGTTTTTCTGTTTTCCTTTCCTGCTCACACTTTGGACAGGACAATCTTTGTTCCCCTTCTGACATCCTTCAGCTAAACCTCAGCGTTAAAAGAACTGTTGAAACACTACTTTCTCTTGGGGCACATTCAGAAGAATCCAGTTTTGTCTCTCTGTCTATCCAGCTTTTGGGTTTTGTGGCATTTTATTGTACTTTAATGTTAACTCTCTGTCTGCTTTATTACGGGATCTTCCCCCTCTAGCTGAAAGATTGCACTCCAGTGATTTTCCACCTCATTCCTGTGTTTGGTAAAGGAGGTTTGTTTCTTGTTACCAAGTATTTACATACGTGCTTTTTTTTTTTTTTTCCTGGCTATCAAACAGCCAACCAGTAAAGGAGATAAATCCTGTCCCCATATGTCCAGATGAACAGTCCATCACATTAGTAAGCATTGATGATTGCTGACAGAGCAAAACACCAGCGTTTTTTCTCCTGGTGATTTGTCCATTCTCCTGGCCTCTGTCCTTTTTCCTCTTATCACAAGTGCTGAGGTGCCTCTGATACAATCCTGCACCTGCTCTTAGAATAAGACTTAGGATATAATATGACGTAATAAAATTCCCAAGTGGCCATTTTTCCAACGTCTTCAACAACTGCTCATAAAGAAAATAGTTGCACCCTCTCCAGTTGAGGAGGCAGCTGGTCACTAAGATCTCTGCATTGAGCTGTGCCTGAAAATCCTGCGGTATCCTGTATTGTGAGGCACAGGTCCACGTAACCATTTGCTGTCTGCACATCTGGAAGCACTGACCATTTAGTCTTAGTAATTTTAATTTGATCAGAACGTGCAGTCCAAAAATCAGGTAGGTTCCTTAGATCGCTATTCTGAGCCCAGTGTATACATTTAAAATAGTCCACAACAAGCAGATGGTCTGGAGCTGACCTTTCAGGAGTAGGCACCTGTCCAGATTTACTGTGTTTGTTATCAATGAACTAGCTTCACCTCTAGAACCCTATTTATAATTTAAATAGAAATTTATGTAATTTACAGTATACTTGAATCATCTTAATAGGTGAACTTGTACTGAATTAGGCTGTTCAGGAGGTTGTATCTGAACAGTAAGAACAGGTAAAGTATCAGGCAGCGGTCTCTGCTCTGTACTCAAGGCAGTGAGTTTTATCGTCTTCAGGATGTCCTAAATATGTAAGCTGCTGGCCTTAATGCTTGAAACTACTTCATGATTGCATTCAGATTCTAGTTCTCATAAATAGGGTTTCTGAACATTCAGGAATCTACTGAACTCAAATATGAAGGGGAATTGCAGGAAACATAACACCTTGTTGTAGAAGTCAGCCTGAGGGTGTGATTGCTTTGGTTTTCTTACATATTAAATGGGACAGTTCTTTAACACATTAAAAAACTGTTTACTATTAATGCTGAAATATTGACCTGACCACTGTGTTGAAAACCAGTTTTATATAGTAGTGGTGCCTTCCAGAGTTTGGAAGGCTTGCTTTGTTCTATTTTTAAGATGTCACGGAGTCAAAGACCATTTGGTTTTGTGGAGTTTTGTCCCTTTAGAAGATAAAACACATGGTCTTGTAGGGGGGTAGTTGTACATTCTCTTCAGAGCACACAGCGTTCCCTCCAAGCTGGCTGGCAGGTAAATGCGCGTCTGGAAAGCATAAGCCTCTGAGGGAATGTCTAAACCGCAGGCAGCAGTGTGGGGCACTATGGAGAAGGGATCAGGGAATTGGCCTCAGAGAAACTATGCTTCCCCAAGAGCAAAACACCCTGCAGGTTCATTTTAGAATAGTTCATCTGTATTGGCAGTGGTACTCAAAGTATTTATACAGAGTTGGTAGTTTTATAAGGTCAAAAGATTGCAATTACCTTGTTTTATCAGGATAAGTATTAAAGTTTTAAGCACAAGTACCAATAACTGTTCAAAATAAATGTTATATTTTTTATTGCAACTTATTTTGTAAAACTTCCTAATACAGTAAGTGCCATTGAAACGTCCAGTTATCTTTTTTAATAAATATGTGTAGTCTCCTTTTTAGTGGGACCAGAATTCTACTTTTTGTCCTTTGTGAGAGCAGTGTCTGTTTTTCTGAATATTTAATCTTAAAAGAAACACCAATGATAGGTGTTATCCTTAAACCCTGCCTTTTTCTCTCTCAAGAAAGGCTTAACCAACGTTAATGAGGCAAACACAGTAGAAGTTTTTAACTTCCTTAAGCAAACATATAAACACTTTTCAAATATATGGTGATTGAGGTATTCCTGACTAAACTCACATCATAGATCTCCAGCATAATTTAATCCATTAAATACCAAGATATGAAATACTTCCATTTCTTCTATAACACAGCTGGTGGGCATCCTTCCTGCAAGCAGTCTGGCTTCTGGCAGGAAACTATCTTGCATTCCTTTGGTGTATGATTTCCAGAGCACTTTCTCCTACAGTGTCCTATCTGTCAGGCCTGAGCCATCTGGTAACTTGGAACTGCTTTTCCATTTTCTCCACCTCATTTTACTGATCTGCATTGATCTTTTATGTATCAGGAATGAAGGATGTTGCTTTTACTCCATAGTATTTTGTTATCCTCTGTTGTATGTAGAAGTGTATGTAACTTGTCCTTACCCCAGTTTTCAAAATGGTCCGTTTGTACTTTTAGTTGTTTTAATAAAGTGACGGTGTCAGGTACCCTCTCTGTGTAACTCCTGTTAACAGAGGCCAGTTTCCCAGACTGACTCTTCATATCTCAGTTGACTATTATGAGGGAGAGAAGAGATGCTTATTTTTTCTTTTTAGTTTGTTGATGTTCACCCTGTTTTCTCTTTTGTTTGTTTTTATGTTACGTCGTTCCATTTCAGGAGCAATTATGTTTGCCTCTCCACATTTTAGAAGAGAAAGGTTTGAGCCAGGTTGCGGTGACGGTCCAGGCTCTCCTGGCACTTGCCCCCCCCAAGCAGCAGCACCCGTCATCTGCTGTGTAAGGACCCCCAGCACCTGGGCGTTGGCCTGGCCAAACCGGAGCAGGACGAGATTGCTGCTGCCAGCCGTCTGCTTAAACAAAGCTCTTAAGTGTTCTTAAAAAGGACTGTTTCCATGATTCCTAACAGGAATATTTTGCTTCATGCCTCCATTTTAGGGGAGGTTATATTCGTTTCCATTGAACTGTTTAGGAAGACACGGTTGGTTTTCACAAATGAAACTTAATTCTGTCATTACTGAGAATGCAACTCTGAAGCCTAAACTGGCTGTGCTTTCCTAGAGAGTAGGCTTGTCTCACATACCAGAAAGAAACTCCTCAAAAGGCTATTTAGCTCCCCTGAAAGCACAGACATGCTATTATCTTTACCTGTTTCCTGTTTCTGGAGTCCTCTGGTTTCCAAAACTGGTTGTTCATTAGAATCTCCTGGAGCATTTGTTAAAATGCAGAGTCTCATTTGGTAGGTCTAAAGCGAGGCCTGGGTATCTGCATTTTCAACAGATGTGGTAGAGACCACTGTCTCAATCTAGATATTTGTATGATGTGGGGAGTAATGACTCCACTCTGTCAGCCACATTTAAAATCAGAAGCTATATATTAAGATTATTTGGACTGTCTGTGCAAGGCAAGACAAAAATAACAGAACTGGTTTTTTGGACAAAATACTTATGTCCAGGCAGAACAAATATAATGTAGAAGGCCTAGATTTTTATGTAGTAAAACCATTTCAGAGAGTTAAGTTGTATATAAGGCCAGAGTCATAGGCCACCCCCCTACGCAGACTGGCCACCACACTTAAAGCTTGGTTCTGTGTGACATCCTGCTATTCTCCACACTTTATAAACAGCACTCTCCACACAGGTTCCAAATCCTTAGGCTGGTAACAGGCACTACTCACCATTTGCATTGAGCCCTCCCATCCTCTTCCCCCCATGCTGCTCCCTGGATACCTGGACCTGCACACACCTTCCACCCCCAGCAGAATACACTTCCGGCTCCCTGACTAATGGAAGATTATGAAAACAAAGCAAAGGAAATAAAGGAAAAACCAAGTTTCTGAATTTCTTTCAGGTAACAGCTGGTTTCCGTGGCTGAATCAAGCCAGTTTCCGTGGCTGAATCAAGCCACTTGTAGCATCTTAAAAAACAGCGTGCTGTGTATCTAGTTCATCTAACTCTACCACTCGTGCCTTCTTTACTCAATCATGGGCCAAGTGAAAGGGCCCAAGATCTCATGTAACAAAGCTGGGAGCCTTTGTTCAGGTTTAAGCCACTAGGGTCTTTCTTACCCTGTATTTTGAACCCCTTTTAGTTGTCAGCATATCTTTTGGTATTCACTGCCTTTATAAACCGGGTAAATTGACTTAGTGAAGATACTAGTTATCCGGGGTTGTGAATTGTTCTGGATTTACTTTACCAATGCATGCATTTGAGCAAAATGTTCTCTATCACGTGAATGCAGCATCTAAAAGGAAAATCATGGAGTATCCGATCAAAATAATGTTTTCTCCCTGTTCTCACAGGGAAACAAATTCAGCAGAACATTACCACTTTGTCCAAGTTTAATATTAAAGAACATAAAGCATCTGAGCTCAAAACCCAGTCCTTCACTGTTCTTACAGAACAAAAGTAAAATGTCTTTTAAGTGTTTAGAGCCAGACCCCATTATATTTACAGTTCCAAACATACCCACCAATTGGGACTTGTTTAGAATTTGTGTGCATTTTTACACTATAGGTATTTATCGTAGTCAACATTAAACCTCAGTACAATCTCTGAATAATAGAAGTCATTTGAAACTCAGCAAAGAACAGGACTGTTTTGTCACCTACTATGCAAGAATAACCCCAGAAGACATACATAATACAACATTTGGGACATTTGCAACTAATTATCCCATATGAATAAATGGAAATTTCCACTTATTTCACATTTCACACATAACGTGAAACCTTATTAATGTATTCTTATCAAACTAATTCAAATTTATATTTGAATTGCTAGAAAAAAATTGTGTACAGTTTTGGTTGATAATGAAAGAAAAATATCAAGCATATTGAATTTCTTTCCTTTGTCAAGATGCAGAAACATTTCATGATGGTTTTGTTGAAAAATTTTTGTATTCAGTGTTTTGTATGTACTTAAAAAAAACTGGAAAGAAAATTTCACATTTAGCCTTGCTAGACTGCAGTGTAAGATGAAGACGATGTTGTAACGGTTCCACCTGACCATTTGTGAGCTTCCTACTGAAGCGGTGACCAGCCCAGTGCTTGAAGTGTGAACAGAGAAAAGGCTAAAGTGCCCACCCAGCAGGGCCCCTGCCAGCTACGGACATCGTAAGTCAGCCAGGTCTCTGGAAATAACTTATGGGCGGAGGGGCCTTTGTATTTAGCTAGAACAGAGTAAGGGGCTTCTTAGCAGGTCACTTTCTTTAATAGCTTTTTAAAATACAGCCTTACACTGGGCTGATGGCTTGGAGCCTGGAGCCTGTTTCCGATTCTGTGTCTCCCTCTCTCTGCCCCTCCCCCGTTCATGCTCTGTCTCTCTCTGTCCCAAAAATAATAAATAAACGTTAAAAAAAAAAAAACAACTTTAAAATACAGCCTTACAGCTAATCGAGGAGTCTGATTTCTCTTACTTGCTACAGCTCAGCAGTGACTAATGATGTGTGACTGTGCCGACGAGTATGATGAATTTTTAACAACTAAGCGCTTAAAATCACTATAGAAATGAAGGAAAACATGGATATTTAGAACCCTTTTTATATAAGTATTGCAGTGAGATGGTTTACAGCAGATTTCATTTTATTTCTGAAAATGTTGTAAACATGTAATTAGTGAAAGATTTTGTAAAACATTGTCCTATATTTGTGTGTCTGTAAATATAATGCATAAGTTCTAAGTATAAATATGTCAATATCATGTATGTTATTTTAAATTGCCTGTATGCCACCTTACACGTTGACATTAAAATAAAAGCCAACACTTCAATAGCGTGAAATAAAGGCTGATTTGAAAATGTTCATACCTAAAGCATGATTTCCTTGGCAAAAATGAAAGGGTATTTAATTCCCCGAAGGAACATCAGTAGAAACTGGGTCCTCATAACAGGCCCTTGAGATCAGTTTGTTTGTTTGTTTGTTTGTTTGTTTTACTCTAAGGAAGTACAGATATCAGTATTTCCCTATATTTGGAATCACATATAAGGCTTAATTCATGAAATACATGTGATATTTGGACACTTTTCTCTCATAAATTATCAACCATGCTGTAGGGAAAGCTTTAGCACCCCAAGTACTGTTTGGATTATCCTTACTGTTTTAGTCTTAATATCCTGCAAGGTGAAAACTGTTGAGGAAGCAAAGCAGGCATAGACCCTGGTGTCTCATGATCGAAAATCTCTCCAAGCTAGTCTTCCAGCAGGCCTGTGTCCCCCAACTTTACTGTGTGTGGGTTGTACACCCTAACATCTCGTATCTGTTTATTCTAATTCATTATTTATCTTTTTAATTTATAATTTATATCCCTACCTATTTCCCAGAAAAGGAGCTGAAGCAGCTTATAGTAAGATACATATTCCATGCTGCCGCCACCCCAACAAAAACACTAAAGTGATAACAAATCTAAAAGGCAGAAAGGAACCAACCTGTGGAACTTCACTGTGTCTATATTATGCTAGACACTTTATAAGCATCGTCTTGGAATTCTGACTGAACACTTTTGCTCATAAAGAGTTTTTTCACTGTAGACAAATGATAGAATCAGGAACATTACAGAAATTACTGAAGTTTTAATGCATCACAATAACTAAGCCCTTGACTTTTTTCTAGTAAGAAAGAGCAAGAAGAATCTTCATAAGCCTCCTAGAAATACTTCCCACCAAAAGTTTCTCAAAAGAAGCCCTAAGTCAACAGTATAGTCCTAATTCAGGGTTTGCAAACTAATACAACAGGCAAAGTGAAAACACCAGGCAGCACCTGGAAATGTCCAAATAAGAAACAACCTGTAGATGAGTTCTCTGCGCTGGTAAAATGTTTTCAAGTCCACCTTCCCAGCTCCAGAATACCAGAGGAAAAGGCAAGAGAATGTCACTTTTTCTTGCCTCTCCGCTTATTCTTGTCTTTGCCTTTACCTTTGGAATCCTTGATATCATCTTTGTCCTTCTTAGGCATTTTGAAACCACCAAGTTCCCTCCGTACCATAGTGCCTCGCCACCAGGCCTGGAGCTAGAAGAGAAAGGGGGAGTGAGTACAATTTATAGCTTGCCTGATAAGCTGCATCCTTTCTGCAGAAGGGAGTTGTTTTTTCCTAAAGTTACTTCTGTCTGAAGAACGGTGTCTGTCTGAAACATGGAAGCGGCCATGCCTGCTGTACCTACAGCAATGCTGCCCTGCGGTGCAGGACCCAGAGCTTAAGCCACAGAATCTAAAGCTCTCAAGGACTGAAAATAAAGAAAAGGAATCTGATAAGGCCAGTCTTTTCCTTTACACTTAAAAACCTGACTCCCTTGTACTGTTTCTCTTTATGAACCGCCAAGTTCCCCACATCTAAACCATTTGATCCAACAGGGATGTTAGCTGGGACACAGGCAAAAGCATTCAGTCAAAAACGTACAGATAATTTAGATGGCTTCAATAGGCTCCCTGGTGCATTTCTTGGCTTCAGTGATTGATTAAAGGATTGATTAAGGGATCCTCTTCCAAAAAGGATCTCGATAGCTCTCTTGAATATTTTAGTCATAGACACAACTGTTCTGAATACAGTCTGCGCTACTTCAAAATCAGACTAAGCCCTAAAAACTGGAAGCAAATCCATTAGTGAAAACAAAGGTGGTCTTCAGCTAGTCTTTACATTTTTGCTGTAAATCAAGGAATCCTGCCAAATAGGAAACACCATAGAAGCTCAATAAATCCTTGCTAACTGTACATCTGACACTCTCCTAATGGAAAGCTCATATTTGGGTTTGGATGCCTGGTTCTGAATGTACTTTAAAGCTTACTTTCTTAATCTACCCCATAATATACATCACAAACTACTGTTTACACACCGTAGGATCTCTCTCAGCAGACACACTTCTTTCAGAGAGCAGGGCAATCCTCTCAACAACAGTTTGGATCCAGCTGATGTTATTTTTGCTTGAAAATATTCCCCAGAATCTGACCTACCAGTTTCAACATCACTAATATTCACAAGTCCATATAAAACTAATGTTAATCTTTTTTTTCTAAACTGCTCTTTATTCCCTATACCTTTTTTGAAAATAGCTCATCAGAACCTAGAAGATAGGCTGGGCTAATTTCTATAAATAGAATTTTAAGAAGCTCCTCTAGGGGCACCTGGCTGGCTCAATCAGTAGAGCATGTGACTCTTGATCTTCAGGTCTTGAGTTCAAGCCCCACACTGCGGGCAGAGTTTACCTGAAAAAATAACTTTAAAAAAGAAGAAGAAGAACAAGAGGCTCCTCCAAGAGCTGTTTCGATTATTAATAGTATTCTTAAATTTGACCTCTGGGCACAAGTTCTAGCTCCAGCTTCCCCTGCTAACCACCACTTTCCTCCCTGATTAAGAGGTGGGGATGTGTCCTTTGCTATGTTAGCTCTCTCCCTGCACCGAGGACTATAGTCAAATTCCAATAATAACAAAAAGCCATGCTTCCTTACAGATCTCCCATCCATGCTTCATAACAAAGGAGAGATACTTTGTGTTCCTCAGTGTTAGGACAGCTATGGGATTGAAGGTGCCCTAAGATGTCAGTTCTGGCTTTCTACCTGTAAGACGCTCTTGAGTTCTAAGTGATCCTGTTGTATCTTCTTCTTGGTCTTCTCCTTTTCTATCCGATCTTCAATGATGACCTGTTCAAACTCCCTTATCTATAAAAGTAGACATTAATCGTAGGTTATAAGACTGTCTTGGCAAGGTGTGGCCCAGCCAGCCCTTCACTTTTAATATAAAATTTGAACATAAAGCTTGCCAAATCTAAAGATAAACCAAAGAAAAAAAAGTTTACTGGATTCCTAAATGGTAAATACTCGTATATTAACTTTATAATTGTACCCCCCCCCGTTTTTTTCAGTTTGAATAATTCAAATTTGCATAGTCTTGCATAAAAATGAAATACTAACTTGGTGTGTGATTAGTGACCTCAAAATAATGTAATTTTTTTAGCTCCTAGAATGTACGCATACAAATAGCAGCAGCCACCTTTTAAAAGAGAAATTTGGGAAATTTTACATTTATTCAATGATGAAACCATAATCAGAGCTTTTTAAAAATCATAATTTACAGATTATCTTCAGAGACCATAAAATAGAAATGATAAATTAGTATCTATCTCAAGAGGTTGTTGTGAGCATTAAATAGTTTATAAATGTGAAATACTAGTAAAGTGCCTGGGACAGAGCAAGCACCATGTAAGTGTTAGCTGCTGCCATCGCTGTCCCCATCATCGATGTTGTTACCATCATCATCACAGGATAGCCTCTCAGTGATTTACAGGCACACCTCCACTTTGTCACCAGAAACAGCAGTACCCACCTACTATAGCTCGGCTACCACCCACTCCTTGGTACTCAGTCTTACACTATCGAGACTGTTTCCTTACCATTTTTGCAAGGTCTTGAAGGTGTGCTAAGTCACTGGCCTTAGCAGATTTGAGAGCATTTAGTTCATTCTGTTTCATTTCTGTGTCCTTATCAAATTTCTCCATCCAGAACTCTAGCTTCTCCTCAAGTTTCTGTTTGGAAAGAACATTAAAACATGGCTCCCACCAGGCACAAAACCTTATAAACTGTATGAAATCATTTATATAAGGTTCAAGAACAGGCAAAACTTTTCTCTCGTGATAAAAGTCAGAATCGTGGCTCCTTCTAGGGGTGGCTTGCTTTATTTGATTGGGAAGGGGGCACGAGGGAAATTTCTGGAATGTTGTAAATGTGCTATCTGGGTGGTGGTGGTTCCAGGAGTTTATATATGTAAATGTTCATCAAACTATATGCTTAATATTTGTATATTTAATATGATTACTCAATTTAAAAACAGGGGGAAGAGGCCCTTCCAGGTGTCTGGATGAGGGAAATTGGAAAGGAATAAAAGATAGGTAGAAAATTCTGAAGGATAAGGGATGGCATCAGACATCTCTTTGATTAATAACAGTAAATACCAGTTGGGAAGGGTACAATGTCTTCAGATTCCTAAAAACTAATCAATGTGAATCTAAGATTCTATAACCTAGCCAACCTTGCATTCAAATGTGACAGAAAGAAAGAACATAACTGGTCTTTCTAAAAGAGTTGCTCAAGAGTATATTTTAGCCAAGTAAAATGAAAGAGATAGTATGTGGGAGAAACAATAAAATGTATATTTAAGCTACATAATATACTTTTTAAAATTAAATCATAATCTGTAACTAAAATCCCAAATTAGGCAGTGTAGTCTCATGGAAGGAGCACAGACAGGTTCTGAAGGCAGACTGCCTAGGTTCAGCTCCCAACTCTGGCACTCAAATAAGTTAAATTCTCTAAAGCTTCACTTCTCTCATTTGTAGAAAGGAAACATATAAGGAATGATTTCACCATGGGACATAGAAGAGGAAAAGAAGAGGTAAGTGAAAGCTTTGCTTTAATAAAGACAAGAAGATACAGATATTAACTAGACTTAAGAAGAAGAGTAAAGTATAAATATGTATGTTCAAATGCTAAGGGTTACCACTCCAAGCACAGAATGTATAACTTCCAAACCCCTAGGTCACATACTTGAAGTACCTCAAGAAGGAGACTTTAGGTGGTACACTTACATGGGATTTTTAAAAAATATGATTCAACTAATCATTCTGATTAAGTTAAAGAGAACATACCAGTTTGATGCAGTCATGTCTTTAACATCTTTCAAACTCTTGTTAACACATTTTTTAAAGTTTATTTTGAGAGAGAGAGGGAGAGAGAGAATCCCAAGCAGGCTCCGCACTGTCAGCACAGAGCCTGACTGGGGCTCTAACTCGAACCATGAGATTGTGACCTGAGCCAAAATTAAGAGTTGGAGCCTAACTGACTGAGCCACCCAGGTGCCCCAGTTTTTTTCTAAGTTTTTTGTTTTGTTTTGTTTCGTTTTTTGAGAGAGAGTGAGCGTGGAGGGCAGAAAGGAAATCCCAAGCAGGCTCAACGCTGCCAGCCAGAGCCTGACCCAGGGCTTGATCTTATGAACTGTGAGATCATGACCTGTGCTGATACCAAGAGTTTGACGCTTAACTGACTGAGCTGCCCAGGTGCCCCTTTTTCTTTTTTTAACAAAAAGAGAAGAGTCTCCAGGCAGGCAAGAAAAACTGGTTAAAATGTAATCACATCATTTGGTATTTATTGTACTTCTATTTATTTTGATTTCTACTTGTGACAAATGGTACTGGTTTTTCTTTCATAGTAATAATACAAAAATCTTAATTGAAAATAAATTGATATAGTTGTTTAGGTGAGTAATTATGTACAAAACAGTACAACGCAAGTGGTATGCAGATATTATAAAACTGTGAAAATGGTGTGCAAATAACAAGTTTGCACTAGAGAGCGAGAAATTGAACAATAAAAATGCCATGATTCCAACAAAAGGAAAGAAACAACAAAGTTTGAAAAGCAGGGAACAGAGGATGGAAACAGTAAGTAGAAACAAATGAAAAATTACAATAAAAACAAATTGAGGTAAATTTCCCTATCAAAATAGGAGATTTTTAAAAATCAATCTATGAAGTATTTATAAAAACCACAGCTAAAACTATATAATCAAAGCAAAAAGAATGCAGGTTTGGCAGTTAATATCTGGCAAAACAGAACTCAAGACAAAAATATTAAATAAGAGAAAAACATTTTGTACTGAGAAAAACATGCTCTATTATTACTGTTATGAAGTTTTATACTCATGCCATTTTGGAATATATAAAGCAAACATTATTAGAAATATAAGAAATTGACAGGTCCACAATGATCTTGGGAGACTGTCACACTTCTCTGAAGTTAATAGCCCAAGTAAATCAAAATAATAATATGAAGAATTTGACAGACTGTTAGACATTTATACAAAACTTGTACCTAACAGAGAATACACATTCTTTTCAAATACCCATGGAATATTCATGTAACTTGAGCATATATTAAGCCTAAATAAGGGCTCAACAGATTCCAGCAGGCACGAATCTTACGTTTTACATTCTGAGACCACAACGGAAGACAGTAGGAGTGTAGACCTCAAAGTGTTGCCGTAAGCAATAGAAAGACAGCCTAGGGGCATCTGGGTGGCTCAGTCAGTTAAGCAACCAACTTGATTTCTACTCTTGCTTTTGGCTTAGGTCATGATCTCAGGGTCATGAGATCAAGCCCCCCATAGGGCTCTGCGCTGACAGTGCAGAGCCTGCTTAGGATTCTCTCACGTGCCCTTTCTCTGCCCCTCCCCCACGCTCTCTCTCTCTCAAAATAAACTTTAAAAAATGTGTTAACAAGGGTTAGAAAGATGTTAAAGACAGACATGACTGCATCAAACTGCTATGTTCTGCCTGCTTGAGATTCTCCCCCTGCCCAGCCCCTCTGCCACTCATGCATGCTCTCTCTCAAAGTGAACTTCAAAAACAAAAAAAAAAAGAAATACACTTTAAATAACTCATGGGTTAAGGAAATAACAAATTATAATGCCTATAATTTATTTAAAGGCGTGAAAAAGGTAAGGTGGATTAATGGAGGAAGGATGTATAGATCTGTGATGAAGCAAGAAAAAAATGTTAATGGTAGAATCTACCACTATTGAGTGGTCACTGTAGAATTCTTTTAACTCTGTGTATGTTTGGAAATACTAATAATAAAATGTTGGGGAGAAATAAATAAATTAAAAATTATTTAGAAGGGAAGGGGCACCTGGGTGGCTCAATTAGGTGAGTATCCAACTCTTGATTTCGGCTCAGGTCATGATCTCTTGGGGTCTGTGAGATCGAGCCCTGCATCGGCCTTTGTGCTGACAGCACGGAGCCTACTTGGGACTCTCTCTATACCTTTATTCCTGCTCCTGCCCCACTCGTGCTCATGCACGTTCTATTTCTCTCTCAAAATAAATAAACACTTAAAAAATTTATTTAAAAAAATGACAACATAAGCATTATGTATCAAAACCTGTATACTGCAGCCAAACAGTAGTCAGAAAATATGTTGGGTTACATGCGTATAGTAGAAAATAATAAAATTTGAAAATAGGTGAATTGAGCTTTTAAGAAACTAGAAAAGATTAGCAACATAAGCTCGAAAGAAGTATAAGAAAATAATTACTGAAAATTAAAGCAAAAACCACTGTGAAAGGGAAAAGATTTGCTCGATAAAGCCAAAAGATAGTTTTTGTGAAGACCAATAAAATGGTCAAAAGTTTGACAAATCTCAGCAAGAAAAAGGGAGAAAAGATACAATTTTTTAAAAATAAAGATGAAAATGATAACTATAGAAATAAAGGAAAATTTTAAATTGTAAGAGACTTTGGAGCATATTTTTATACTAATAAATTTGAAATGAATGTTTAGATAAAACAAATCATTTCTAGGAAGGCATAAGTTACCAAAAATGACTCAAAAAGAGACTCTTTACGTGAAAACATCAATAAACATTTAAAAAATTTAAAAAGCTAAAGAAAAGGATTGGTCTCAGAGGTCTGAAATAGCCTCTCTAAGCCAGCCTCAGTCTGTATGGTCCAACTTGTATCCCCTATTTTCCTGCTATGTTCTCTGCCCTTAAATCCGCTTCGTGGGAACACCCTACTGAGAATGAACCAACAGTAGTAATCCTTATAATCGTATCTGTAAAATGAGGAAACGATGTTTGTGTCTTACAGATGTATCCATGCTTCAATTTGCTGGGAAGTTATTTCAATAAGAATACCAAAAAACATTCCTGTTGAACTCTATAATCTTTAAAAATGCAGCTTTTAAAATTTGACTCTAAGTGTGATTTCTCTTTCCTTATTCTTCAGGCCTCTCTCTCACATTTTGCTGTCAGTGTCAGTAAAAATTCTAGCAGAGAAAATGCTTGTTAAAAAATAAATGGATTCAATAGCAAAAAAAAAAAAAAAAGTAGCCAAACTTCTCCCCTTGAAGATGATACCCAGACAAGACTGTCTACGACTAAAGTTTACCAAAGTTTGAAGGAACAGATAATAATCTATTTGCTTTATTTATATTTTTAGGTTTCAGAGCATAAAAAGATAGAAAGCTTCCCAACTCAAGCTGCTAAACTAGCATAACTGATAGCAACATAAAGAACACCAAAAAATAAATCCAAAGGTCAACCTTGTTTATGGAATATATAAATACAAAATAAAAATCTACAAATCAATCTAGCAGTCTGGTAAAAGAATAATATATTAAGAACAAGTAGGGTTTAACTCAAGAACTTCTTTATTTTTTAAAAGAAATTTTTTATGTTATTTTTGAGAGAGAGAGAGAGAGAGAGAGAGAGAGAGAGAGTGTGTGTGTGTGTGTGTGTGTGTGTGTGTGTGTCTGTGTGTGAACGGAGGAAGAGGCAGAGAGAGAGGGAGACACAATCTGAAGCAGGCTCCAGGCTCCAAGCTGTCAGCACAGAGCCCAACGGGGCTCAAACTCATGAATTGCAAGATCATGACCTGAGCAAAAGTTGGATGTTTAACTAACTGAGCCACCCAGGTGCCCCTATCCCAAGAATTTAAAAATGACTCAACATCAATAAATCTATTAATATATTT